AATATTGCCATGTATTTTTCTATATTTTCTTCCACCCGTGCCATCAACTGCAAGATGGGGCAGTTTTTTCGGCAGTATTTGCAGCACATGACAGAGTAGCCTACCGTCACAGCTGAGCAGACAGTGTTGCAGAGAAGCGGTGTCTCCCTGTCCTGGAGGTGTTGATCGTGTCTCGTCCCTTGTCTCACGTTAGCCAGAGTTGGGGGAAACATCTTATATTTGTGCTACGGTAACTTTAGCGACACATTTAGTCCAGCTCACTGTGGCTTCTCCTTCTCCCTTTTTTCCGACATACTACAAACTGATCCGCTGACAAAAAATTCAGAAAACGTTATCTTGTTGTTGACACTTTGCACTTCCTTTGATTAGCGGACTTCAAAATATTCAATTCAATTCAATTTTATTTGTATAGCGCCAATTCATAACTGAAGTTATCTCTGGACACTTTTCAAATAGAGCAGGTCTAGACCGAACTCCTTTTAACATTTACAGAGACCCAACAGTACCACCATGAGCAAGAACTTGGCGACGGGGGCAAGGAAAAACTGCCTTTTAACAGGCAGAAACCTGAACCAGTGGTGGGGGGGAAAGAGGGAGAGAAAGAGAAGATATACTCCGATATACAGACGATGTATCAGCAACAACAGGTACAACCAACTACATTAATCAGTAATGATCCGAGAACGATCATGAAAAATGACGATGACAGCAGCAACGATATGTATATGCTTCAAATACAAATTCAACTTGAGGTTTGTTCTTACTGTAAAATAAAAGGCTGTTCCCTCTTGTGCATTAATTCATCATGTAAGTCTCTTCTATACACTTTCATAGACTGCTGGGGGAATTTGGGATGCTTACAGGTTAGGCTATAGTGTAAAACAATATACGAAACAAAATGCAGTGACTTTATAAAAGGCTCAAGAGAAGGATATGTGCACACACAGTCACAGAAGAGCCAGCAAAGCATCACAGCTTAGAGTTGCACTAATGATATTTGTAAATCCTCTTCATAATGTGTAGCCGATCAAAACCTGAATATACATAAGAGAATTATTATTAATCTGCTTAAGTATTACAGTTTTGGACTAGAAAGGTAGAGCACTGAAGCATTCAACAGAGTAATTATTTCATGAAGATTGACTCACAGTCATAGTTTGATGGATTATAATATATACTATGTTTGTATGAAGTGGTTATGTTGATTTATTACTTATTACTAGTTAACAGTATGGAGATTACTGTGTAGTACATACTGTATAGAATGAGTCTGTTATATGAATTTGGGACACAGCTAATGCCATGGAGGACATTACAATGAACAGTACACAATACTACAAGCATGGTCCTGCAGAAAGAAATGAAAGTTGACCTTTACAAGGCAAAAAGATTGTTTAGAAACGCCTTTGCTGCCTGACTGCAAAAGTCTGACTCAGTAACAGCCTCAAACAGCCGATAGCAAGAGATATAATAAAACATTCTGTAGCAAGTATTGTAACACAGCATGAAACCCTAGAAAACAGGAAATATCCTGTTTCTGTGATACATATGAGATGTGTGCTTGGAAATGGAAAAAAATATATTTCAAAGAAGTTCTCAAAGACTTTTGCAGACTCATAGATGTAAGAGACTAAAGATTAAGCACTGGTGAACAAAACACTGAAAGACTGACTTTAAGTATAGAACCATATTTCTGTCTGGGGTCTGACTCCAAACCTGCTGCTTCAGAAAATCCGGTGAAGACACATTTCGATGCATGAATATCACATTACACTTCCATCCTGCCGGCTAATAAGTTATCAAAACTTGATTTCACATGTTACACTTTCTACCTTTGCCATTCTTTGCCGTTTTGTCTCTTTCTCAACCGACCCTCACCCTGACATTTATTTCTCCAGGGACGTTTTCTGGGTACACATTCACTTGTCAGAATCAACCTGTTTGATGTTTGTTCTTCTGTGAAACCACCATATATTCTATTAGTACTGGCTGCTGAGCAGTTTCCGCTGAGCAAATTGGGGTCAAATGTCATGCTCAAAGCCCAATAGACAGAAAGTGGTTCACGTAGGTTTACTGGTTTACACTTTAGAACAACACCACCCACCCATAAAATGCTCCTGTCTCACCTCGTATGCAGTGGGATCACAGAGAGGTTAGAGATGCCGCTCCACAGAGACAACACCCACATTCTGAGCATTTTCTGTATCTTTTATCTGACTGCACTGTATCATTCCTTCTAGATCAACTTTTAGTTAACACCCATCCGTCCTCACATACTGTACATCTCACCTCATCAATATTCATGTATTGATTTAATCTCCGTCTCATTTTCATCATCAGTTAAATCTTCCTCATCCAGAGTTGTGAGTTTCTCACTGCTGTTTGTGGCTTGTGGGCACTGAGGGTTTATACATAGAACAGAAACTGAATGTATAAAATGTTAGCTGTAGCTGCTTGATATTGATTTGCAGCCCTGTTACATAATCCACATCTCAGTTGTTTCAAAGCTTAAGAAATATTTTTTAAACTTTAGAATAATTTTCTACCTTCATTGCCCTCATCAGTGTGAGTGACAAAGGTGTTTTAAACCATATAGTTTCCCAGACATCAGTTTCTATTGAGGAACTCTTAATAAGGGACATGTTTTGTAGCACATAAGCATAGGATTAGGGAACAAACAAGACAATCAAACACAGAGGCTCCAACCATAACAACATTACACATGCATGAATCCAAAGTAATCCGTGGAAATTGTGGAAATTTGCTTTTTAATAGGGGTCGGCTAACCTTGTATACAGTTCCTCCTTTCGCCTCGCTGAAATCAATAATGGCAGGACATGAAGCACAACGTCAGAGTTATATTTAACAGCAAATATACCTTTGAACCCGGTTGATCCTATCCATCATGGAGGGGAGGGGGGATTTATATGTGTAATATCAGGGGAAGGAGATATGGAACCTGGGCTCAGGGTCCCACTGTAGAAGCTGTCTCTGCTTTGTTCAGCCCTGGAGGTTCTGGCTGTCCCACTATCTGTCTACGCTACAAACGCTCATGTGCCAGGGCATGATCAAACATATTCAAATGCTTGTATATTTGCCTGGGCCTCTCCTGTATCTCATTAGTCGGTATATTGCTGTCAGCGACCTTGAAAATTGTTTAAAATTCACAGAAACGGACGAGGATTTCATAATGTGTTTTGGTTGTTTGCTCTCTGCTGTAAAAGTGCCTTTTTGTAAACTGTTTAAGCCTTAAAGGTCACAGATGATGGGTAATTATTATACTCTAATGTTTGCAGGTGTATGGCTGCCACTCGGGAGACAGAGAAAGAGCATCAGATCAACGTAAAATAAGAGAATCTGGTGCAGAGATTTAACAGATGTCTAAGTTAAAACACATAAGTGAGGTGTGACTACTGCCCTTTACAGGCAGCTAGAGGACATGAGTGAAGTGGAGCGTGTCTCTAGCAACGATAACCCTAATCTCATTCATCTCGAGGTCATCCACAGAGGTTAACATCAACTCATTTTCTTTTACCTCACTGTGGAGAGAAGAAAGATAGATAGATAGATAG